TAAACACAATAAAGAAAAAAATAGGATACCAAAAGCAAGTACAAAACAAAAGGAATGCATTTAGATAACATGCACAACATCAGGTACAACAAACTTCTCCCCCTTTTGACAGCACAAAAAGGAGGAGCAACTAAAAGCAAAAAGCAAAAGAAGAAAAATTATAATGCAAACACAAATAATCTAAGCAGACGGGTCCTGATCAGGTGGTGGTGTAGGTGGATTTGGTTAAAAATATTGAAAGAGAGCATCGAAGCGGTGATCAATTGCAGTACAGCGTTCTCCAAACCATTGCATATCTGTCTCGTGTTGCTGATGTTGTTCTTGAATATGCATGTCGAGACGAGTCTGCAGCTGGTCGAAGCGTGCGACCAAATCATCATTAGGGTGTGCTGGTGCAAGTGCTCGGGGTACGACATGGCGTCGTGGTCGAGCTGGAGCTGCTGCGGGGGCATCTTCTCATTCTTCTTCATCAAAGATGGGTTCTTCAGGCTCGTGTCCCCGATGAAAGAGAATACAGAAGGAAGCAACCGTATAAAAAAATAGGAAGCATGTCGGGTTCACGAGGGTAGAACAATTGATATTTATTGTGGAGGATATATCCTATTAGGTGACCAAGAGCTAGATTCTGTTTCCGTCGAGTGGTAGGTAGACGAACAAAAGTTATGTGGCGAATATAGTTACTAATTAAATCAACCTCATCAAACTTTATGTTGGACATAATAAGATAGGTAGCGACGGATAAGGTCAGGGTCAGATTGATACGGTCGCCACCTTTGGGTATTATTGAGGTTCTAAGGACATGCTTAATTATTCAGGCATTTTGAGTTAAGGATTGAACGAGAGGTTGGTGTTGATGGAAGGTAGCATTGCTAAGGACTCTATTAACATCGCTCCAATCAAATTCATCGGTAAGAAAAGAGCGAACCAAATGTCCTTCAGTGGACAACCCAATATATTGGGCTATGTCGGCTCTAGTGATCTCAATGTTGCGGCCACAAACAAAAGAGTGAAAGGTGGTGTTGTCGATGAAGTAGATGAGGTTAGCTAGAAATTCTAAGAGAAGTTTAGAATTATAGGGAAATGCCAGGGTGAGTTGGAATTGGAAGGTGGTGGAAGCAAAGAGGCCCATTACTTCGAAATTGAGAGCAGCCTGATTAAGCATTTTTTAAGAAGAAATTTTGCAAGCTTTATATCGGTGGTAGGCTTCATCATTTTCAGTATTCAGAAAGCGAGCAGGTTGGCGACTCGAAGAGGATGAGCTTCTAGCAGTCATCCAACCTCGTTTAGACATTGCAAGAGGTCACGAAACTAAGTGAAGGGCTGAGTGAGGAGAGGTTTGAGTGAGAAGAACGGCCTAGGCAAGGGTACTTATAGAAAATTTTGATAATCATAAAGTACGATCTAGGATCGTACAGTATGATAGTCAATTAATGTCCTGACCAGTCATTTCGAGAAAAGGCAGTCAAATCGTACAGTACGATAAGGATCGTATAGTACGATCAGGTGAATTTCGATCGTCCCGAGGCCCTTAGTACGACTTTTGACCAAAAGTTTCGTACAGTACGAACAGGTGTATCGTACAGTACGATACATAATAAATATCGTACCAAACAGCTTTAACTCATATTTGTCCCTTGTGCTGATGTGGATCATACCGTACGAAAAGGATGTATCGTACAGTACGATACTCAATAATGTCGTACCAACCGGATTTAATTCGTCCCAATCCTTTGCTAACGTGTATCGTATCATACGAAGAAGATATATCTTATAATACGGTAGGCAATAATGCGGGATAAATATCATACAATACGATGTAGGTCGTACAGTATAATCAATAGAGCCAAAATCTGCTTATTGGTGGACGTTATGTAGATTGAGATGTATCGTACAGTACGATGTAGGTCGTACAGTACGATGAACAGTCAATGCAGAGTTTTGGTGTGGTGAGTGTGTGGTGATCAGGAGCAGTCCTAAAAGTTATTATTTTTGTTTTATTTTTTTTATGCATTTATATCTATGACACCTAATCTAGTCCTCAAGGTGCTAAAGGTGTCGAAAGCTAAAGGTTTTGTGAATATGTCTGCCAATTGATCTCCTGTAGCGATGTGATGTAATTCTATATCTCCCTTAGCGACGTGATCTCTAATGAAATGATGTCTAATGTCTATGTGTTTCGTTCGAGAGTGTTGAATTGGATTCTTAGAGATACAAATTGCACTTGTATTGTCACACATGATCGAGATGGTTCCAACAGGTAGTCCAAGATCAAGAATTTATTGTTTTAACCATAGTACCTGTGCAACACAACTTCCTACTGCAATATATTCTGCCTCGGCTGTGGAAAGTGCTACTGAGTTTTGCTTC